ATTAAATAAACTATTTTTTTTGCTGCTAATCTTAATGGAAACATCAAGGATGATGGTGTAAGTATAAGCCTTCCTCAGTCAGCACTGTTTTCATAGAACTGACACCATGAATCGTGTATACAAAGATCTTTGAGAGGAGAGTCAAAGCAGAGAGTCGAGGAAGTCCACTCCTAAGATTGTAAACGTTGTTGGCTTTTGTACAACTTGTGACCTATTATTTTGTAAGCTTCAGAATGAATGAAATCTTTGTCCTTTTGTCTTCTGTTAAATGCAGGAAAGTCCAAGAAAGGTATGACAACCTCCCTGTGTGCTGTTTTTGCTTCCAGCAAATATTGAAAGGTCATTGTCAGTCATCTGTAAAGAGTAATTAGATGTAAAACTGTACAGTGGTGGATTTTTAGTCTAATTATTCCTTTCACACAATAGAGAAAAAAGTTGTTGCACTTTCAAAACAAAATGCTGGGCACAGCTGCTATTCATTCACAGGCAGCTGCATGACCCTCTTTGTTTTGGTGTTTTATTACAAGGTCAGACCCTACAGGAAGCATGGGTCCTGTGGAAGCATTGTTTTGCAAGATTCAGGATCTATCTAAAGAAAAGAGTGGGCATGGTGATGTATGTAGCCTGAGTGTAAAACATGATGTTTCTCCTTTATAACGGCCAGGTATAAAAAAAGGCAAGCTACAGTTGGAGGGTGGGAAGGATTTAGGACATTCCTACTTATTCATTCTTTTAAGCTTATTTTATAAGAAAGAAAGTGGAGAGAGTGAAGAACAGCTTCAATGACTGGCTTGAAAAAGGAAGATGGTTGTTTCTGTAGTTAGGTGGTAGATATGTCAGATGCTAGGAGATTTCTAATAATGTTTCATGGGCTGTGCTTCAAACGATTGAATGGCATTTTACAAACCTGAGCTCTTCAAAAGTATTTGTTACTGTCTGTTTGGAAAAAATTGTTTTATAGATATAGTCTTTTTTTATTTTATTTTATTTTTTGGTGGACAGGTATGTGTGAAAGATCTTTTTGTTTTTGTAACAAGTCTTTTTTGACTAACTGTATTCATGTATTATAAGACCATTTTTTTTTAACTTCTTAAGTTCTCTGGAAATTCAGATTTAATCTAAAAATGTGAATATGGTGCCTTGTTAATCTGCTGGTATTGTTACTAACAGTGTCGATGATTAGCATGTTGGAAGCCTTGTGTATTTTTCTTGTCCCTTTGTCATCCTTTTTGATCTTGTATCTTTTCCCCTTTCTCTGTCATTCTCTTCCCTAATTCCTGATTTGTCCTATACCTTCATCTCCCGGCTGTGGACTATCATTAGGAAGAATGAATTTCTCAGCAGGTGAGTTACAGCAGGCTGAACTGGCAGAAATACTGGTTAGTTTTGTCCTCTTAAATCAGGTTACATTTTTAAGTCATCTCATTTTCCATGTGAAGTCCCAGGTAACCCTAAAAAGTATATTACACAAACTTGGAAAATGTTGGCAAGAGTCTACATACCCTGGAAGAGCTAACTCAGAAAGGGCTTTCTGGGTCTGATTAGTCAGAATTCATAGACACTGGCAATAAAAATCAATAAGTCCATCAGTGGGCCTTGCATATCCAATCTGTTGACTCTCTAGGACGATCTCATTTCAGTGCAGTGAAGAGAGATGAATTTGTTTGGGTTCCTTGTATGTGCTATGATTAGTGACAAGCCTCAGATATTATCAAGTCTCACTTTATATACTTTATGAACTACCCTGTCAAACAGCTATTTCTGTCTGGATAATAAGTATTTAGAGCATTTACAAGTCCGTTTTTACTTTTCAAGGAGACCTGGTTGTGCAGTGATTAAAGCACTTGGGTGGTAACTGAAAATCAGCAGTTCGAACCCACCAGCCGCTTCTCGGGAGAAAGATGTGACAGTCTGCTTCTGTAAAGATTTACAGCCTTAGAAATCCTATGGGGTAGTTCTACCCTGTCCTGTAGGGTCTCTATAGTTAGAATCAACTTGACGGCAGTGGGTTTTGCTTTTTACTTTTTAGTTGCTTTCCCACTGCTTAATGTTATTCGTGTTTAATTTTTATTTAAAATAAAAATAAAAACAAGCATCCTCAAAGGTTGGGAAAGTCTCATTTTTTCTAGTTCACTTACTTTGCCCCACCCCTAACTGTAGATACATTTCAATTCCTTATTTCACCATTAATGTAGAATTGATAGATGAGAATATGAATTCATTCACTGACTCTTTATGACATTCATATGCTAAATAATGTGGATACTGTAACAGGTCATACATGGCTCCATTGCTCATAAAGCTTACACTTGAGTGGAGGCTTAAAGACCAGTTTACAGTTGTTCTGGTTCTTTGCTGCTCCAGAGTTCTTCTTGGACCTCCTTAGGGGGATACCCTTTTTCAATCCTTTGTTCTTCTATGGTGTTTCCTCTATCAAAAGTACCTATGCCTTTGATTGGCCAGACCAGAGCCTGAATCCCAAACCCAGCTTTTCAGAATTACATTGGCGTAATTCCACAGTCGCAGGCAAACCATTTCTTGGAATTGTTCAGCAGAGATAAGGATAAGCCAGATGGCAGCTGGGTTCATTGTGACCAGGTAAAGTGTTAGTTGCATTTAGAAATAAAATTCCTCCATAAGGAGAACATTCCCACTCACGTTGGATCCACAGGAAACAAACATAGTGTGTTGGGAAAGATGTGTTCATTAGCAGTGGGCTTTTTCATTTAAGTTGCTAGGAAAATGTAAAATGCTTATTCTACCTTGGGAAGGACTGGAAGGCTCTCTCAGCTGTAGAGTTAGACGTCAACGAATAGTGAATCGGCTTGGAGAATGTATGTTCACTGTCCTTAGTGGACATTGTGACATGGCTGCCCCTCATGCCCACGTCTGAAAAAGCTTGAGTTATTTTAGTTTACTGTCCTTACCTGAAGGTTGTAAGTTCATTCTCTTATTCTGTGATATGGTTTGAAAAAAAAAGATCTACATATCTTGATTGAAATTATTCCTTCCTACCTTGAGGGGCAGGACATACCGGTACTTTAATAAAATATATATATATACTCACCCTCTTTTTGCTTTTCCAAGGAGGTGTTAGGTGCCTTGTGGGGACTGATTGTTCCTCGTGGTAGGAGACTGAAGGGGAGAGGGGGGTTGCAGCAGGTGCCACGACCAGGGATGCGATTCTTGTGTGTTTCAAATTACCTGGCTGTCTTTTAGTGGTTTGTTTTCATACTAAAACGAGGAAATATCTTCCATGTAGTTGGTGCCAATTTGGAAGTTTTCTATGTCAGATGCCTTTTTTGAATACATAAGGAATTATACATGTGTGACCTTTTCAAATAATTTCTGTTTGTTTTTGCCTCCCCCCACCTTTTTCATAATGAATAATTGGAAACAATTTAAAAGGAGCAATAAGTAATTCCAAAAGTTCAAGTGTCAAAGGTAAATATTTGAATAATGGATTATTTTGTCTTTCTTTATAAAAAATGAATAAATAAAAGGCACAAGCTCCATGCTTATGAATGCACTGGCTTTGTTTTTATGCTTTGATGCCGATTAATGATATTCTATCTAAGATCTCGTGGTGTGTCTTTATGTTTTGTGTCTTCCCTTAGCTAAGTGATGTGGCTTTATGAGAAAAAAATGTATGTGTTTATAGTAACAGCTATATTAAGGAAACTTATTCTTCCAAAAATATCTTAATCCAAATTAAGGCTTTAACATATTTTCATCTAGGTAGCTAACACTGCTCTGAGTACTAATGGCTTGAAAACTCGGCATGGAACTAAACTCAGTTTACTGAAACTTCTGGAGTATAATGCTTAGTTAGAGCATCATCGTTGTGGCTCCCATTTTTAAGTGGAAATGTTTACTCAGCAGCTGAGGAAGCTATTGGAGTCATTCACTTCCTCTTGCCTGCTTTTTGGCCATTCCTTTGCTAATTAACAGCCTCGTGGAAAGGTAGGGAGAGCACTGGAAAAGAGGCAAAATTCAAATGGTCCAATGGTATATTCTTAATAGCTTGATCAGAGTAGTGAGAGAGTGTAAACTATCGTACTGGTTAGAGGAAAGTTTTGTTTTTTTTTTTGTAATGAACCAGGAGATTTGTTAATCAGTATGGTCCCTGCTTGCTGAGTATACGGTAAAATAGAGAACTGAAAAAAGGCCAAATTCCCAAGTCAGCTACCAGAGAGTAAGCCATAGCAATAAAAGTACAGGTAGTCCTCCACTTAATAAGTATTTGAGTTACAATGAACTGCACTTATGACCATCTGTTCTTTGTTTTGTTTTGTTTTTTTTGGTACATCTTATTGTTAGTAATATGTACTACATACAATATTCCGGCACATAATTTACTGATGTCATCCTATCTGTAAGTTTATATGTATTGTTTCCAACCCCTAAAGACAAATAAAGATCAGATTTATCCAGATACTGATAATACAAGGCAATAATAATGAAAACTGAAAAAAAATGAGGTATTCGACTTAGAACTAACTTATGACAGTGCCATTGGAACGGAACCCCGTTATAACTTAGGGACTACCTGTACAAGGTAAAGCCAATGACATAATGTGCCAGCTGACGAAGTACCAGGGTAAGGAAAAAGCTCTTATTTACTATACCTTGGGACCTGTTGACACCTGCATTTTCATACGGTCAACATCACCAAGTGGCTGATGGCTGATTGTTAAGGTGGAATAAGAAGAAAGCTACACACCCAGTAATTAGAAGAACTATAGCCACTGGAACGATTATTGATCCTAAGTGTTTTAAATAAGTAGTTGGAAAGTAAGGGTAATTAAAAAACAAAGACAGAATGAGAAAAATGAAAAAATGTGCAGTTTGGATCCTATCCAGATTAAAAGCATAAGTGCCCAACTCCGTCTCAGCCTCTGCTCCCCAGAAAACCCATTCTGTGATCAAGGACAATATCTACTTCATAGAAGTCCAAGCTTTCAAGTCAGCCCAAACCTGAGTCCAAATACAGATTCCACCCCTTGTCAGCTCTGTGATCCTAGGCAAGTTACTTAACCTTTCTAAGCCTTGTTTCTCTCACATGTAAAATGGAATGATAAATAATGTGGGACTATAATGGGATAAGGAGCCCGTGTGGTGCAGTGGTTAAGTGCTTGGCTGCTAACAAAAGGTCGGCAGTTGGAAACCACCAGCTACTACCCAGGAGAAAGACGTGGCAGTCTGCTTCCATAAACATTACAGCCAAGAAAACCCTAGGGACAGTTCTACTCTGTCCTATAGGGTCACCTTGAGTTGGAATCGACTCAATGGCACACAACAAAAACAGCAACATAATGGGATCTTTATAGAATGTGTAACAGAATTCCTAGTACATAGTAAGTGCTAGAAAAAGGATAACTATTGTCTATCCACAGACTATGCACAAACTAACCACTTTACATTTTCCATAAGTTTTATTGGAAATTAGTTCAATACATTGTCTATTATAGATGTAGTAGACCTTTTTTTTAATATTGTGGTGAAAATATCCACAACAAAACATACACCAACAATTTCCACTTGTGTAATTCAGTGTATAGTAGGCCTTTGATATTCATGAGGATTACACTTGATTCTTTTCATGAAACCCCAAACTACCGAATACTGTTATTGCCCACATCATCACCTTTAAAATAGAATAAAGTACATACAACTCAAAAAATAAATAAATTTTTTTTTAAAAAGCGTAAGTGATGGTATGAGATACAAGGTTTTGAAATCCTATACCTGGAAGATTTCATCTGCTGCTTTATGACCACATCTCACGTTTCTTAAACTCAGATACCACTCAAGAGTGACAGCTCTCAAATCCTGGTGTTGCTTGTCACTAGGAGTCATCCTGCTTTCACATGAACCCAGCTGCATTTCAAGGATTTAGGGCCTTTAGTTTTTCTTACAGTATATAATCCTCAGTTGTGTTGAGATGTAGGAATGGTTTAGGCAAGTGTTAAGTGAGCCCACTGCCAAAAAAGATCACTCACAAGACCACTTCTTTGAGTCTCTTTCTTGCACTGAGCATGATGCTGTTCCTTTGATCTTATCAGCTTCAAAACAAATGAGACCAAACTTACCCCTGGAGTCATATGCAGATGTTTTTGGTTGCTGTTGTGAGTCTGTAGACTTAAAAGTTTCCAGGACTGAAAAATGAGGCACAGTAACATATTTATGGCTCTTTTCTTAGGGTATAATCACCAACAGATGAGTGAAGGACAAAGGCAGAAATCTTCTGAATTTTACAACCGGACCGCGTCTGAGTCAAATGTCTACTTGAATAGTTTCCATTATCCAGATCACAGCTACAAGGACCAGGCCTTTGATTCTTTGAGCCTAGACAGCTCTGATAGCATGGAGACCAGCATCTCTGCCTGCTCCCCTGACAATATCTCTAGGTAAGATTTATTCATGAGTAAGTTTTCTGGTTTAGAAAAGCACTTGCTGGTTTCAAAAGGTAAAGCCATCAAATTGGGACAATGTATATGTACAAGCCCAAATTGTCCAGGCCCAAAGAGTCTACAATACAGAAGAAAGTCTAATGCCATGGGCCCTTTGAAAGTAGTTTATACCCTGTGTGACCTAGCCAGTCAGACACCATGCCATCCATTCTTCCCCTTTGCCCTATTTCTTTACACTTGAGCTCACATTTATACTGTTCTTCAACATTGATTTGCCTCTGTTGACTCTGATTTTTATTTGCAGTGGTTTTGATCAAACAAAGAAATAATTTCCAACAGTAGAGTCAGAACTGTGAAGGAGTTTTTACCTTTATGTTTTGTTAAAAGGAAGGCTCTAGCTGTTGTGCTTATTAAAGTTTTTGTAGGGATTTTAGCACTCATTTGTGTTCATACTTTGAGGGAAGCAAAGGTAGTGCTATGGAATTAGGGGCAGAGGCACATCTAAAATGCAGATCTAGTCATAGAACTTCTCCTCTTCAAAAGCTTTGATGGTGCCCCATTACCTACTGAATAAAGTCAGACCCCAGAGGCAGGCATTCCAGGTCCAGCTTAGCTCCCCATTCATTCTCTCCTCCTGACACACCTCACAGGACTTCTTGTTATTTGAAAGGGTGGTGTGCTCTCAGATCTCTATGCCTTTGACTGTATTGGTCCCAGTCCTGGAATCAGGTAGTTTGTTTATTCATTCATTCTTTTATACGCTCAGTCATTCCACCAATATTTACAGAGTGCTCTGCAGAAGTCATCGACTGAAGCTGGCTCATATGGGCTGGCCAGACCCAAATGTATATAACTCTTCACAACTCTGTGCTCAGTGATTTCATGTGGTATCTTGAAATTGGCCGTTATAGCAGTATTTACACCAAGTAAATATTTGTGCCCATTCCAAAGAAAGGCGATCCAACAGAACGTGGAAATTATCAAACAATATCATTAATATCACACACAAGTAAAATCTTGCTGAAGATAATTAAAAAAAACATTGCAGCAGTACATCAATAGGGAACTGCCAGAAATTCAAGCCAGATTCAGAAGAGGACACAGAACAAGGGATATCATTGCTGATGTCAGGTGGATTCTCGCTAAAAGCAGAGAATACCAGAAAGATATTTACCTCTGTTTTATTGGCTGTGCAAAGGCATTTGACTATGTGGATCATAACAAATTATGGATAACATTGTGAAGAATGGGAATTCCAGAACACTTAATTGTACTTATGAGAAACCTGTACATAGCCCAAGAGGCAGCTGTTTGAATAGAACAAGGGGATACAGCAGGGTTTAAAATCAGGAAAGGTGTGCATCAGGGTTGTATCCTTTCACCATACTTATCCAGCCTGTATGCTAGGCAAAGAATCCGAGAAGCTGGACTATATGAAGAAGAATGTGGAATCAGGATTGGAGGAAGACTTGTTAATAACAACCTGCGATACACAGATGACAAAATCTTGCTTGCTAAAAGTGAAGAGGACTTGAAGCACTTACTGATGAAGATCAGAGACTACAGCCTTCAGTATGGATTATACCTTAACATGAAGAAAACAAAAATCCTCACAACTAGACCAGTAATCAATATCATGACAAACGGATAAAAGATTGAAGTTGTCAAGGATTTCGTTTTACTTGGATCCACAGTCAATGTCCATGGAAGCAGTAGTCAGGAAATCAAAGGATGTATTACATTGGGCAAATCTGCTGCAAAAGACCTCTTTAAAGTGTTAAAAAGCAAAGATGTCACTTTGAGGACTAAGGTGCACCTGACCCAAGCCATGGTATTTTCAGTCACCTCACATGCATGCGAAAGCTGGACAGTGAATAAAGAAGATGAAGAAGAATTTATGTATTTGAATTATGGTGTTGGCGAAGAATATGGAATATACCATGGACTGCCAGAAGAATGAACAAATCTGTCTTGGAAGAAGTACAGCCAGAATACTCCTTAGAAGCAAGGATGGCGAGACTATGTCTCACATACTCTGGACATGTTATCACGAGGGATTAGTGCCTGGAGAAGGACATCATGCTTGGTAAAGTAGAGGGTCATCGAAAAAGAGGAGGACCCTCAATGAAATAGATTGACACAGTGGCTGCAACAATGGGCTCAAACATAGCAACGATTATGAGGATGGTGCAAGACAAGGTAGTGTTTCGTCTTGTACATAGGGTGGCTATGAGCATCAGCACCTAACAACAACAGCAACCAAACCAAACCCGTTGCCATCGAGTTGACTCCAATTCATAGTGACAGTATAGGGCAGAGTGGAGCTATCCCATAGGGTTTCCAAGGAGCAGCTGGTGGATTCGAACACCACCACCAAGTAAATTGGCAAACACTAAACAACAAGTCTCCACCCCTACACCCTCTCCCACCCGCCTCTCACAGAACTGATTTACCAGCGCACCACTGTCTACAGTCAGTTCATTAGGTCATTTGTTTATTCATTTAACCAATACTTACTAATAGTGCCTGGCATTGCAAAATATCTTTTATCCCTGTCTTGCCCCCGCTTCCTTCTTAGCCTGGAGAAATTCTCCTTATCCTCCAAGCTCAGTCTTAAATTGGAGTCTTATGAGTACTTCTCCCTTTTGGGCCTCTCTCTTCTGTGTCCCCATAGCATTTGAGATATATATATATATATGTATATGTATATATGTATATATGTATATATATATATGTATATATTACAACACTGATCACATTGTTTCCAATTTGTCTTCCATAATTAATTTGTGAATTCCTCAATGCCAAATTATCATTTGGTTTCTGGACTCAAAAGGGATCTTGGCATATTATAAGTAATAAATGTTGGCCTAATAAATAATTTGGAATATAGTAAAATGGATATATTTTTAATTTTGATGTTTTCCTGTGTTTGATCTATATATCCTAATTGACTGAGAACCATTTGGTTTCCACCCAAAAAGTATCCAATAGTCAATAAGTGTTAATTGAGCACTTATGTGTCTCAAAAGAAACTGTCTATGTGATAATTGCCATCAAATAAACTTCCTGTGTTGCAGTGATGCCAGCAGGCTGGAAATAAGAAGTCTTGTGTTCTGTGGGTTTGACCTGACAACTGATTGTGCTGCCTGGAGAAGATCATAGAATTCTCTTTGTCCTGATTTGCTAGTGTGCAAAATCGAGGGATTGTTTCTTGAATAAAAGGGTGATAGATTTTAAAACAATTTGGGAGAAATTACTAGTATATAAATATAATTTCTTCCTTTACAAAAGTTTGCACAATGTGCTCCCTTCTCAAAACAAAACAAGTAGTAACAGATAAACAGAGAAGCGAAGTATATTTAGCTTTGGGTAAACCAAACAAACCTGTTACTGTTGAGTCGATTTCACCTCATAGCTTTGAGCAGTGTTTCCTAAAGGAAAAGAATGTCAGAGACCCACGTCTAATCAGGCATTAGAGACAGGAAATTGTCTAGAGGGTGGGGGAGGGAGAGAAGAAAAGAATAGATGCTACATTTTGTAATAGAGTACAATGCCTTGCCATTTTGGTATTAATGGGTGAAATATCAATATTGTTGTTCATTGCCGTGGAGTTGATTCCAGCTTGTGGCGACCTGATGTGTTTCAGAGGAGAACTGCTCCATAAGGTTTTCAAGGCCGTGACCTTTAGGAAGCAGATTGCCAGGCCTGTCTTCCAAGGTGCCTCTGGGTAGGTTCCAGCCACTAAAGTTTTGGCTAGTAGTCAAGTGCTTAACTGTTTATGCCACCCAGCAACTCTATGAAATAATCACTATTACCAGGTATATCCTATCAAAGAAGGACCTGGGAAAAACACTGAAACAAGCATGAGAATTGTATTTCTGCTTGCTACATGGGAAATGACCCAGATTTAAGGAGAGAACCATTTAATAATAAAGAATGAGGATAAGTGAGTTTCTTTAATCTTAGGGAGACTAATGTTTCACTTCATTCACTGTTAGAGAGACATTATCTCGCTTATCCAACTTTTGTTTTATTTTTTAATTTAATGTGATTATTTTAGGGAGGGCACTTGAGTGTAGGGAACAGTTGGGCATCAACCTGCCTCTTTCACTGAGGGGTGTTGATCAATACCAGGTGCTCCTATCAGAGCCTTGACAACAGAGCCAGGAGGAAATGTTCTCAGAACAGAAAGCCTAGAACTTTGAGTAATTATTCACCATGACAGTAACCTGACCAATTCAATACAGTATTTAAACAAGACACTCACCAGGACACTTACACAAGACAGAGTGGATAACTCAACAACTCTTATATAATGATGAAGAAAGGAATAAATTAACATTAAAAGAGAGGAAGAAAAATGCACGTTTGCTTTCCTGGTGTGGTAATCTGAAGGGGGCAGCCTATGGTTCTTATGTAGCAGTTTTTTGAAAACATCACATTTCTCCCCCTGCCCTGAAAAATAGTTGACATTTTCTAAATGTAAATTTATGAAATTTATAATGTATAAATAGGATACTACTAATCCTATGGTGAACTTTTGATAGCTTGACCTTTTTTATTTTTCCCTATTTTTGAGCCATCTTTAGTAAATAAATACAGTTTATATGTTTTCCATTCTTGGTATTTTTCTTCCTCCATTTTCAGCTTCCTGCCTCGACTTGTCTTCCAAAAATTAGAAGTAAATATGCATCCTTCCAAATAATCATTTCCAACCCCCATCTTATATTTAATGATGGTAAATGAGTACAGGAGCCCTGATGGCACAGTAGTTAAGAGCTCAGCTGCTAACCAAAAGTCAGCAGTTTGAATCCACCAGCTGCTCCTTGGAAACCCGATGGGGCAGTTCTACTCTGTCCTAATGAGTACAGTCAATGACCTAAAATGTGACCGTTTTGATTGTATTTAGTAAGTTTTCTAAGTTCAGATTGGGAGACTTAAACAGGGTTGCCACCAAAAACTTTATTTTTATTCACTCACTCACTTAAAAAAAA